CAATTTGAACAAGCGTCGATAACAAACTCGACTTCCCCGTGTTCATCCGTGAAGTCTCTTGAATTGGGGTCATCGTCAATTTTTCTTAGCTGTATCTCCGCTCCATCTCTCTGCACTCCATGAGCCTTGATCTGCATGGGCACGTTCCTGGCGGGTTGTTTATTTGGGTAGGTAAGAGCGACCTTGAAAAAAAATACTAGCATTAAATACTGAAAAACAAATCCATGCTGCAATACGACCTGGACGCAGTGGCTGGACTGTTCTTAGTCGATGTACAATAGATCTTATTCACGCCATCTTTGCACGCGCTTATGAACTGATGAGATAAAGGCGGGCAAAAAACTGATAAAAAAATTTGCCATTACAGGAAATCGCGGTGATTTTTCTATTCTAGATAACATAATATGAAGAACGTTTTATCTTAAAAGACGACAAGGGCAAATTCTGGCTTGAAGTGATCATTGTTAATTTTAAGAATGCATTAGCGACCGTAGATGTCCTCAAAGCAAGCAATAAGGACACAAAACTTGTCGAAAGTCCAATTTGTCATTTTGCATGACTAGTAAATCGTCGTCCCGTTTTAAGAGAATAAACAAGCTCGACTGTGATTTATTCATATTGGCAAATTTTATAACCTGATTGCCCCCTGAAATACCACGTGGCATTGTTTTTATCCCATCAATCCTAAAGCGCGTGCAAAAATGGCGGATATCGTAAATAAGGTTATTGTTCTGGTTTTAACAAGTTCTTGACACTTTGTTGAAAGCCAGAAGTAGTTTACATTAACCTTTTCGTTAAAAAGGAGTTTCTTTTTCTTGAAGAAGCCTACATCACGGTCCTCATGGCGGAGGGGCTTAAACGTTTCATGTCAGACAATTTTAAATGCGCATGCTTGTTGACAGTCAATACGTACATCCGTTGCAAATATCATAACGTGGTTTCAAAACTCATGACTTAAACTTCCCGGTAAAGCCTGTATTTTTCAGGCTCTTTTTCAACCACTTAGGTTGTTCATTCTACTGCGAAGATCATGGCCACTTTCATATCTTTATCCGCAGTTCAAAGTAAGATTCAGTTCATACATGTACATTTCAGTTCATTTCATTTCCACCATCGGGTATATTACGAACTCAAAATGGCCCGCTCTCCGATTAGCTTGATTAGTTCAATGGAAAGAACGTTGCAACCGGTCATCGCAAACTGTCAGGGTTCAATTCCCGGTCACGCTTGTATTTTTCAGGTCCTTTTTCAACCGCTAATGTTGTTCATTCTCATGAGAAGATCATGTTCACTTCCATATCATAACTCAAACTAACATATTCAGTTCGACCGGCATACCTTCACTACAAAACGCAATCCTGGTTTAAAATACTTTGCCGTGTTGGCAAATTTAATGAGGTATGGACTGGATGTAAATTGGCAAGACATATCCCCTGCACTCTCTTTGTTGCCAGTCGCTTTTTCAATGACGTCAACATGAACCTCAAGTCTGCTGCTTTCTGGGAACCACAAATTCCCTGGAAGGTCCCGGATGATCTGAAGTCGCTCTGTCAGTGTGGTTACACCACTCTGGTCAAGCTATATTAACCAAAAAAACAACATACAAGACCGTTTAGTATACAGTTAACTCTCTCTTTAAGCCCCAATACTCACATACAAATTCTCGAAACTGATCGCCATACATTTCCCTTAAGAAACAGTTGAGAGAAATTAATAAATGATCAAGGCATTTTCTCTGTGGTGATCATTTTATTAATTCTCATAACCTAATCTCTTGAAATTGTATGGATATCGTGTGGAGAAAATTGATGTCGGTCCCTATTGGGACTTAAAGGGTTAAACGGACACCTTTGTGACCGGCTCTAAGTGTCCTTCTAAAAGAGATGTTCGTCTTACAGAGAGTCAAGTAAAGGGAGTAAAGAAAGGCAGGGACCAACTCTAGGTGTCCGTTTTACAGAGGTGTCCGTTAAGAGGGAGTCAACTATAATTCCAAAAAGTAAGACTGTCTATACTCCCGTTTTTTTTCCGTCTTGTTGTTAGATTGATCGCTGCGTTTGAAAGACCGACTGGAAAACGCAATTTCTCCAGAGCGACAGGAGTCAAGGACCAGGAAAAGGTACTCAACAAAGTTTTATAAGGGTAGGCTCCGCCGCGAGGTCCAACCCCTTACCTTTTTATATGCCTTTTTGGACAGGAAATGTATGTAGAAGGGGTAGAAGACGGTGGAACTTGAACTTATCCCTTTCGCAAACATAGTTTACAACATTGCATCCCTTTTAACTGCTGTAAAAGCACTGTCCTTAAAATATGAATAAATCACAAAAGCAGGAAATTCTCCCGACTTTTTCGCACCCACAAATTCTTCTATTAGCCCTTTTAGGTCTTTTTACAGACGGAAAGACAGATTTCCCTGCCTACCCTTATAACAACTTTAACTAATGAAATCCCTACCCTTTTATATACCTGATGAGGCATGAAAAAGGTACACCTTTCGGGCGGAGCCTCCCCGTATAGGCCATTATAGGGAGTACCCGGCCCCTCCCCTCCGGGGCCAAGGAGGCTTAAAGCATTACGGTGAAAATTTTCTTGTTTCAACCCGCCATCTTTTTACTAAAGGCAATTTTAAGGCAAATTCTCACATTCTTCTCTTGAAGCCGCCAATCTTACAAAGTACAAAAAGGGTTCAATTTAATACTAACAAACTAGGGACTAAATTTGAATTAAATAGGAAATCTTAGACAAAAAGGTGTTTGTATAACGGGACTTACAGAGATACTTAAACACTATGACTGGTCACTGTAGAAAAAGGGTTCAATTTAACACTAACCAACTACGGACTAAATTTTAAAAACGTTAATAGGAAAACTTAGGCAAGAAGGTGTTTGTATAACAGGACTTACAGAGATACTTAAAGACCATGACTGGTAACTGTGTCAGTTATATAACTGCAGAACTGAACAGATTAAAAGGACTGAAAAACTTACCACGATGGCATGCTTAGCAAATGGGACGCTCGTGCCATTGCGTCCGGCTATAGCCAAATTCACAACGGCAGTGCCGATAACGGGCTTTCCATAAGTGTACCTTAAAAGAGATTGGCACAGGCGTTAACCCCTTAAGCCCCAATATCCACATACAAATTCTCCATACTGATCACTATACATTTCCTTAAAGAATCAGTTCAGAGAATTTGATAACAGATCAAAGATTTTTCTCTTTGTGATCTTTTTTTTAATTCTCAGACTTTGCTCTTGACAATCTATGCATATCGTTAGGAGAAAACTGATGTTGGTCACTATTAGGACTTAAGGGGTAAAGGGAGCATGAAATTCATCAAAATTCAAACAGAGGGAGCTGCCTCCAAACTCAGTGAAACATTTTTAAGGTAGATACAGTGGAACCTTTATTCAGGGGACACCCTCGGGACCAAGGCAAGTGTCCCCTGAATGGAGTTTGGGCTGGGGTTTGTTAATAATTAACCAACAAATTAAAAACATTTTCTTTAATCTGCCTCGGATTCTGCTACAGTCATTATTTCAAGCTGTCAGATAATGTATTAAAAATTAACTTATCCCTGCGATATTGTGTGTTGAATTGCCACAAGTGCAGTATATCGATTTAAGTGAAATAGTTTATGTTGTGAAAGCTGTCGTCATTGTGACTGGTGGGCACTTTGAAAAACTTATCAACGCTCTTTGTGGTCTGCAGCCACTTTTGAGGTGTTGAGGTGTCCCCTGAATGGAGGTTAAACTAGAGGGTTTCCGGGCCCAGAAAAAGTGTCTCAGACCTGACCACTGCGGATGTGCATGCACCAAAGGATGCACACGGAGCCAATGCAAGGTGCCCTCTTATGAGAGTCGGCGTGGAGTTAACTTACAACTGACAAATAGCCTAAAATTTAACTGACAACCGACAATTTGCCTTCTCTCTGTCTTGCCAACAGACAAAGGACCCGATTGTCCTTAATTTTCTACGAAACCCGTAGCATTGTTCCACTCTTTTCGCCAGACAATGTGATCAAATGTGCGTTTATATGGGTAATCGTCGCGGTAATCCTCTCTTACCTCTACCACGTCTGGTCACAAACCACTAACTGATCGTCGCCATGAGACCGGGTACAAACTGCCGGAGATTGATAAGTCCTCGATGGTTCTCTAGGCCGGCTATATTCACACTACTTATTCACTTTCGGTACGGTCCGAATACCTGTTCACCCCGAACCAAAGTGTGGCACAGAACCTAACCGATATGTGACGCTCCACTTTCAAGATAGGCGCAGCGCAGCGTTGCTCCGTTACAGAAATCGCGCTAAAATTAACGTTCTTATATGTGAACAGAAGCCCTATTCGGTAGGGTTTTTTGCGCCAGCGCAAAAGCTATCCGCCGTTCAGTTTGATGCGTCAGAGTCAGATCCGATGACATGGTGTATTCAGTAAGCTATAAAACAGTGCCACTACTAAAAACAACGAACAATGATATCATCCACCTGTATGCTAAGTTTTCACACAGGAACTTTTTAGAAAAATGATGATCAACCGAAGGAAGCTCGCAACCGCGGTCAATTATCTCAAAAATTAACTATGCGGATGTAGGTAACGTACTCTACCTTGGACATAAGGGTGTAGACCGTTTTTAGTATAGCATGAAGTCATTTATTTTACCGGGCCATGAAAATAGTCAATAGGGCGCTCTGTAAAGAAAATCCCTATTGTTTTGCTTTACAAAGTTGATACGAATACTTAAAAACAACACAAGAATTCCGATTTCTCATATTCTTGAAAGCATCTACAAGTGTACTAGCATTTACATATAGTCGTTGGAAAACGTTAGGCAAGTACGCAGTCACTGTTATTCTATGAGGTCCTACCTTGTTGTAATGTTTATTCTGATCTGATTATCCGTTTTGAGGATATAAGGCGGTACTCTGAGTCTCACCGAGAACCTGGGAAGAACTAAAAAAATCGATTAAAGCATGGATAACAATTAGAATTATCATTCGAAGCAAATTTTTCTTTCTTTTCATTGGCCGAGAGCCCACCACGTGACCTGCAAATAACTGCCTACAAATAATGGTCTGCTCATGCGCAATGCCGTCCAACTGTGTTTGGCTGCAAATAGTATTCTGCACATGCGTAAAGGAAACCGTGTTTTTCTCCTTCTTGCGATCGCTCTTGCGTGAAAATGGCAGATCGCTTCGCTTCCCTAGGATATTCATTAAAAAAAACAAACTCGGTGATCGAATGCTAAAACAATTATTACGGAATAATGTCATATAAAAAGAAGGCGTGGTGGTCGAGCAGTTATACTTTTCACATAATCTAAAAAAAAAATATTCTTACCGTATTCCTTTACCTCGAATTGTACCGAAGTGTTATGGACGTCCTTTAAAAAGTGAGACAAATAAAAATGAGATAAGGTTCTTTTTTTCATTAACGGTATTTGTAAACTAAGGCCTATGTAATTACGTGGACAACAGCAAACTTACCTGATGACCATATATGGCTGTTATAGTCCAGTTACCCAGCAGAATAAAATCATCCAGCTCAAGTCTCCTTGATATGATTCCTTGATAAAAAGGAAAAAAAATATCTCACATCTGAACGCATACAATAAAGTGATGATCCAACCTTGTTCAGTTCAGGACGAGTAGGAGATAAAACTGGAAGCAAATTAAGTTGACAAAGAACTTGTAGATGTCCTACCTGTACTTGAATCCAGGTCCTTCCACTGTTGGACTCTGATTCCCTGTGGGTTCTGAAAGGAAAACGGTTACGTTAGTAGTAGCAGCGATATAAGCAATATCAGTGCAGTAGAAGTAGTGGTATTAGTAGTGGTAGCAGTAGCAGTAGCAGTGACTAGCAAAAGAAATAGCAGTAACAGTAGCTGTAGCAGTAGTAGCAGTAGTAGCAGTAGTAGCAGTAGAGGAGGAGGAGGAGGAGGAGTAATAGTAGTAGTAGTAGTAGTAGTGGTAGTGGTAGTGGTAGTGGTAGTGGTAGTGGTAGTGGTAGTGGTAGTGGTAGTGGTAGTGGTAGTGGTAGTGGTAGTGGTAGTGGTAGTGGTAGTGGTAGTGGTAGTGGTAGTGGTAGTGGTAGTGGTAGTGGTAGTGGTAGTGGTAGTGGTAGTGGTAGTGGTAGTGGTAGTGGTAGTGGTAGTGGTAGTGGTAGTGGTAGTGGTAGTGGTAGTGGTAGTGGTAGTAGTAGTAGTAGTAGTAGTAACAGAGGCAAGAGCAGTAGCAGAAGCAGTCAGTAATAGTAGCAGTAGTAGATGGAGATACGTCTGGAGAATTTGTATATAGACGTTAATTCCTTGTTGGCCCTTAATTTTGTGGGTCTTTAATTTCATGTTTTTCGCGATTGAAAAAAATAGCGAAATTTCAAATCGCAGAAAAAAATTATTTACTGATAATAGCAACAACGTATACAGGATATGTATTGACAATATCAATTGTTAACTGGTTTTTCTGGTAAGCTTCATTTTGTATCTTAAGTTGTGAAAAAACGTTACTGATTTTGCAAAGATTTCACACATTGCTTGTTCATGTTTAACTAGAAGTTTTATAAAGAGCAGACTTTTCAACAAAATAAAATGAAGTTGCGAACGCTTAAATCGCGAACTTTAAAGCCCTTTTTCATAAATTAATTGCCTGTTGAAATTTGTGAAAAAAAAAAACACCACGAAATACTGTCTCGCCCAAATCGCAAAATCATGTATAACAATAAGGTAGACATTTGGGCTTAAAGGATGAACAGTTTAGCCGTACCTAGTGTTGGAGAAGTTTGGTGAATGGTTTGTTGGAAATGAAACTGCTTTTTGTCGTAGTGGTGACCTTAAAAGCTGACATATTCGTAGCAGTATTGTTGGTCAACAGAGTTACATGGTGAGTCAGAGTACAATGGGTTTGGTCTTGGTGGTATATGGTTATGGCATTTTTTGCTTGTTAAAATGATTTGGGATGAGGTGGTAGAAAAAAAACGCGACATTAAACTTACCAGAACCATGATGGTTATCTGTTTTAGGAGAAAAAAGAAAAAAATAAAGGTTTAGAACTCGTGCAAGCCAGAAGCCATGCATTATGTAACTGGTTCGCCTTCTAATTTACCAGTTAGGATTCTTAACCACATTTTGTTCCATTTGAATTTTTTTGTTTCATAATTGCTGGAAAGCCTCGTAAGAGGAGAGGATATTGATTTTAAATTTAAATTTAAGAAAGAATGACAAATTGTACTCACATTTCTGCCAGAGGGTTTCATGCCAAAGTCAAGCGGAAAAATTCGAATTTTTACTGAAAAGAAAAAGAGGAAAATAAAGATGTGTATCACGTCAAAAAGTACGGCTCTGGATCGTATCTCATGCTCATCGTTTGTCAGTTTCACCGCCGGTGAAATAAAGGTGGTTTTTGCGAGACGTAAATATATCACTTTAATTTCCATTAAACGGCCACCCTGGGGGTACCGGCAAGTGGCCGCTTAATGAAGGTTGTCCCCTCAATAGAAGTTCGACATAAATTAGCATAATTTAATGTTTAGGAGAAACATCACCTTATTTTGAAAAAAAGAACAAGCGATGGGAGCACTACAAGTAGTACTGGTTCACAATCGGTCGTCACCTTCTATTCTGGACTGTATTTTCCTTCAGCGTATACTTGAAATGAAGCTAAACTACGCGCATCAAGAGCTTGATGGCCGCTTAATAGATGTGACAACAATGGGAGAACTCTTGTTGAGACGGCCTAAAGGTGGCCATGGCTGCTTAATAGAGGTTTAAGTCCCCATTCTTTTCTACAATGATTTGGGGACTTTAAAGACTGGCCGCTTAATAGGGGGTGGCCGCTTAAAAAGCAAAGAAAAATTGGTAATCTATCCATCCGAGAAGGTCAACCAATGTGAAATATCAAACTTTCTAGCTAATGTGGGAGCCTGTAACCTGTGTTTAACTTGATAATAGACATCCATGTCATGGTCAATTGACAGCTGTCAAAACAGGGTATCTGCTGACAAGTTTCACATGACTGTATCGCGGGCTCTCTCATCGAGGTCACATGTTTTTTTTAAGTTTTCCGCTGACCAGTTGTTAGCTTTTAATTGATGATTTAAAGTCCATTGTATCATGTAAAACCCCTAAGAACGTCTGCGTGGGAGGCTATTATAGCTCTGACTAAATCTATATATTAAGAGGTTCAACTCTCTGTGTCCTTCGTACCATCTTGTCTGGGAGTATAAATTGGTTTGTCCGTCTGTATGAAAACCATCCCGTCTTTGTAGCTCAAAAGAATCTTGGCTTCCTGTTGAAACTGGTAATGACCATCATCCGACTTGGCCACCAGATAAACATATTGTTTATCCACTGAGCTGGTGTCGGGCAGATCCTGAGGTTCAACCTGGATAAAACATCATAAACTAATTAATGTATAAAATCAGGAGCCGATTAATAATAAAATACAAAAATAATAGATAGCCGAAAGTTTGACGTCACTGATTAATCGGTGACTTTTGTCAAACCCTGAACTTAGGCTTTGAAGCTGCAAAAATGAGGTGTTTTACAAAGCGTAAACAACAATAAAGCTTGTTGATGTTTTTGTCGTTGTTGTTGTTTTTTAATTACTTCACAAGGAGATTGAAACTTGCAAGGCGTTTTCACCGAAAGCTGCCCGTTAAGTGCAATTTCCAGAGAACTTTTACCACTTATAGCTTGAAAGAACTTGAGCACGTACGAAAGAAGCATAGTAAAGTTTCAGCGGACAACAAGAAAAAATCAGACCATATTTCTCATTTTTTTTTCACAAAATATGGAGGTGCTATTTTACGTACCTTCACTGGAAGAAATATGTTGCTTCCTGGGGAGTAAAAAATATAGAACAAAATAAGACACTGGTATAATTCTGCCTGGGATATGATCTGTTTTGCTGTTGTCTTCCTGCATCACTCCCACCCAAGTGGCATTCCTAGGGGGTGGGGAAAAGAAAATGGCAAAAACAAAAAGGAGAAATAACTAAAGATTGCATCACCTTGATCTACACGTCCCTGTACTTGGGAGAATGTCTTTCGTCTGTGCGGGAAGTCCTGTAGATATAGCTTTACATTCACAGGGTTCCCAGCATCAAATATCGCAATGGAGACTTGCTCTGTGACCCCAATGTGGAGCACATTCGGGGCCATGATTGCATACCTGCAAACGTTAAAAGAAAAGTTTTTTTCCAACCTCCTCGTTCCTAATGTCCGTCATTCGAACTGCCTGATCACGAATTGTGCTCGTGCATGTTTCCTGATCAGAGCTAATTCACCGCCAATTTTTTTTTTCCATTTTAGATCAAAGACTTGTCACGTGATATCGTGATATATTCCCAAGAACAAATTTTACACTTCCGTCAACTACGAAGTTCTTAAGCCCTGTGCAAACGGACACAACATTGTTGGCCAACCTCTCCCATCATTGTTGGATGTTACATCTTGCGTCCGTGTGCACACCCTGTTGCACGTTGTTGCGTTTTGTTGAGAGTTGTTCCCAAAAGCTTGAAAACGGTGGTACGTGCAAACGGACGCAACAACTCTCAACACTTGGGCCAACAATGTTGCATCGGTTTACACGGGGCTTTAGGCGCTGGCCAGGCTAGTATCCCCGATAACCCAGCTTTGTCTCTTCGGTTAGGCCTACAGGTCCACTGTCTACCGAATTCGAAAACAGAGCTTTTTGAGAACGTTCTCATACAGGCTTTGCGTATTAGCGTGGACGGAAAACATTTTGAAAAAGGAACTTTTAGAAAACACTGACGTCCCCAAAACAATAATCATGTGATTTCTCTAGCAACGTTTCGCAGTTTTCGACAATAGTTTATTCGGCTTAGTGCGAACAGAACACATCTTAAAGATTTGTTTTCAAATTATTCCGATCAATGCTGTCGGAAAGCGAAGGATCAATGCATTGGAGATCTTAATTTTTTGAAGTTAACAGAAAATGTTCCAAAGAGTTCCAATTAATACCCGAGTCTCGCTTTCCCTTCAATCTCGGAATATCCACTTTATGAAACATATTGAAGTTCACTATCCGCGTCACTAATTCAGTTATTATTTGTCGTAACATAATATTCATTTCAAGCGGAAGCAATAACTACACCCTAGCTTTCCCTCAAACTCGATATTTACTTACCCTGGTCATTTGAGCCTTTTTCGGCTCTTGTTTCTCAAGCGATAGCTGGTCATCACAATCACGACGACTAGTATTATAAACTTTTTCAACGGCCTTTATGTAATTGTGCGCAGTGTACTCACGGAAAAGTCTCCCTTCTCTTTTGTGTTATATTTTATTCGTTAAGATCTCGTTTTGAACGGTCGGAGCAAAGAAAAAGTGACACCTAATGACCAGAGGCGCGGGGAGGGGGGAGCTCTCATATGGAAGTGGTTGAGATGCTTGGTGTCTCGTTTAGGGAAGTAAATTGCAAACTTCGGTATCACGTTAGGGTGTGAAGGTTTGGAAAGCCGATGTATTAACGAATCCATACCGACACTGCCTAAGATGTGCGTGAATGAATGAGCAGGGAAAAAAGAAGAAAGACGAAAGAAAGAAAGAAGAGAAAACGCAGGGGCATCCAACGGCAATTTTCGGGAAAATATCTGTTCGGAAGACGATTTGAGATCTAGAATTTTCGGAGCATTTGTTGTAAAATTTCTTGCTTGCCTGCCTCTCCTAGGATTTTCGAACATATACAAAATGGTATAATTACCCATTTTTAACGTATTTTGACCCTAAAAAAGGCCACCTAGAATTTTCGGGAGCCTTTTCCTGGCTGAAATCTTCGGATCACTAGACTTTCAGCTAGGAAATCCGAACAGATGAAAAGTTTTTAGGGGATAAAAATATGCCTATATCTACCGTTTGAATACTAAAATACGTTCAACAATGCTATGTTAAGTGGTTTTGAACTATATCCTCGTTGGGTGCCCCTGAAAACGAAAGCTCCCAAGCACAATGCCAACCGTCGCAATACCAGTATACTATATGGCTTGTATCCGTCCGTCTGTGTTACAATGCTATTTTTATGGGTGGAGCAAATAACTTTTTGTTTCCCTTTGGACGTTTTTTAATTCCAGTTCTCCGACGAACATCCCTGCACCCTTCACATCGAAATCACCCACCCCCGCCCGGGGCCTCAGTGCGAAGTTCGTTCATAGTATATATGGCGTTGAAGTATGTTCCTGTATCAGCTCGATTTCACAAAAGATGTGACATTTTACAGATGGATTATGTAAAAACACTTCCATTTCTGTGATCTAACGACAGTAACGAGATAAGCTTGGGTGGTTGTTAAATCATATTGCTTCCGGTTTCAAAGTCAACTTGACTTGAACCAGCCGTATATGATAAATCCCACGTTCGAGGGTCTTGGAGCTGTTGGAGGGTTTGTCTTGTTCGAAAAGTTGTTAAACCTTTCACTCGAACCAAACTTATTAACTTAAAGCATCAGAGAAATGAAATTTCGTCAGAATGTGGTACATTTGTAAGCTGAAACGAGAATGAAACAGGAATGCTACAGCTGATGATATCAAAGCAAAAAATGGCTTGTCAAGATAAGCAAACTGTCCTCTCTCCAAAACTGTTGCTATACTTTTGATCCAGAATCTTGACTTAAAGGGCCGCGAAAATGTTCAAGTGTTGCGAATTTTTTCTTCCGGACTTCGTATCGGCGAAAGCAAAAAGCTTCCAAGGGTCTGGAATTGATCAGCTGAAAAGAAATGTTGGTAGATTGTTTGTTGACGACAGCGAACTCAGCAACCTCGCAGTCCACCTGTCTCGCGCGAAAATTTGCCTTACTCATAAAGCGGTCGAAAAATTTGCCTTAGGAGACAGACAAGGAAGTCGAGGAAGTAACTTGTCAGTGTGGAAATTTTCTTCCACATATTAGCTATATATTCTACATATTAGCTCGCGGTGCTAGATTCGTGAAACACCATAAAATAAGACGTAACAAAAACATGCACGTCAGTGTTACTTACTTTTTTGCTGATATGCATCCTATTGCGACTAAGAGCAAAATAGATCGTAACATCGTGTCAAGGTGCTTCGCCATGCTTACAGCAAGGCTTTTGGTATCAAATGAACTACTTCCCGTCGAACCGTTCAGCTTTTAGTGACATGGCGTGATCCCGGACGGACAGGCATGATTGCTGAGACGTGTTATAGGATCTGGTTAAAGACGTGAAGAGTTGAAAGGTTCTTGCCAATGTATAAGCTTTACGTCAAGTGTTGATAGATTCGTGAGTATTAAAAGGTCACGCTGAACCCGTTTGAGTAAAAGGAAAAACAAATTGGCTAAATCACCGCAAAGAAAGATTTCGATACGCTTTTGTAAGGGTCCGACGAGTAAGACTACATTTCAGGGGGAAATGCTTCAGTCCTGTCTGACCACAAAACGTTCAACTCTATCGACTCTAAATTGAAATGTTCAGGATTAGCGATTGAGGGGGCAAAACAAAATAAGTACATGGTAACACAAGACATGCCTCAGCACATTCTTTGCGATAATTTCACTTCCTTTTTTGCCAAGAATGTTACCATAAACTACATTACTCTTCGTCGAATTTTTTATTTCTAAGACGCTGTAATGCATTTAAAAGTCCCTCTTTTCATTTAAAAAGACTGAAAGGAAAAAAACTGGAAAAGTAAACGAATTTTTTTACCAAGTAAGTCAGGGTAAAAGACCGTCCGGTCGTGAATACCGCGTATGTTTTAACCGCGCATGAGTTCCGATGCGAAAAGTTTTCAGGTAAGAAAGACCTAGTGTTTTTGTTCTACCTGGCGCTCTGATTGTTGGATCATTCATATTTAGTTTATGTTCTGTGAAAAGACTGGCTACAAAGTACTCTTACTGACTTGGCACTCGTGTCAATTTCTGTCACGACGTATTCACTGACTATTCAACAATTCGTCGTCTACCAGCTCTACCATGCACCGAAATGAATACGAATTTTCAAATACTGGTTTTTGACTGAGCACCTCCACTGTACGTGGGAGCAAACAACAAACTCCTCCCAAGAATGGGGTAGCTTACGGGGTTAGAACCCGCGCACGTAGTTATCCCTGTTGGGAGGCAACAGCTCTAGCCCTTGTACCCTCTTCTCCCTCGTGCTTATAACTTTTGTATTGTAGTGAGAAGCACTCTAGACCCGAGGGAGCCCATTGAGAAAGGAGCGGAGATCATGTCGTCGTCTTGTTTCGGAGTTCTCGATTGACAAATTTTGCCCCGCTAACTGATCAAATTTGAGGTATAATTTTCCCGGGGGGGGGGGGTACTTGGGTAAATTTTTGCTGGGTATGTGCCGCTAGCCTCTCAGAGCCCCTATCCCATTATAGTCTATTCTGTGGCCAATTACAGATTGCATCTTTTGGGCAAATATGTAATTTTTGCAATCCCAACTTAGTCACTTTCTATTTTTGTGAATTGACCCATTTTTTAAACTGAATGAAGACAAGAGCCCATAACCCTGATGAAGAACACTTTAATTTTCACCTACAGGACGAACATTATTCTGGTACGTTTGCTAACCGTAAGTACGAAGAACTGTCTTACCCCAGAAAATCTGAAATGTGTGACCCCATTCTAATAACTATTGAAAATGCGACCCGTTTTAGTCAATCCAGTCGTGAAAATGCGACCCCTATTAGCCTCTTATAAGGAAGTACCCCCCGTTATAATTTATCTCCACAAAAGAGAAATGTTTGGACGATTTAACAGAGTGCAGCTCGAGGAAGACATCGGTAACTGGACAGTTTATCGCCTCATGAACATAAACGAGGCCGGTAACGGGTATTGACATCACCGTCGACTCGGAAACTCAATTCAACGAGGGAAGTCCTATGGAGTAGGGGTTGAGATTCAGACTGTTACAACCAGGCCAGGGAGAAAGTACAGGATGCGAAAGGCTCTAGCCCCCCCCCCCCCCCCCCCCCCTCCTCCTGTCCCCCCCAAAAAAAAAAACAAGACCGCATTGATTAAAATCGAACTACTTTTACTCTGAGATACACTGTAAATGAAAACGAGATCTTTTTTGCCGAAAACTGCGACACTCAGAGATAAAAAGCTCAAGGCTCCGAGATAGAAAGCAACGCACAATAACAGGACAAAGTTGTCGGATCAGCAAAATTTACCGAGATCTTGACAATTCCCTTAGACTCTTCTCCGCCAACGAAAACAAAAGAGGGATGGCCGAAGGGCCACATCCGGTGGATTACCGACTGGGTGGAGCTATACTATTGTTGATTCTGGATTAAAAAACAAGCTAAGCTAGTAAAAAAGTAGTGGTGAGTTATTTTTCTTTCGGCCGTATTTAAAGCTGGTCCATCTCGACAGTAAACTAATCGGTCTCTCAGCTACCTTACGGTTTTAATCAACAACAACTGACTGCTCGTGCTGTGAGAATTCCTATAAATTGTTTATTAAATACGTTCCAGCTTATCAAGGCAGATTAGATACGTTTTATAACTTTAAGCCCTACGTAACTATATTTCCCGGAATACTTTGTGTTTTTCTAAGACGAACCACTATGGGCCAAGGAATACAAAATCATAGGAATTCAATTTCACTTCTCTTTCAGCACACCTATCACTTTAGCTTTCCTGCTCAGCTGAAGCGCAAACGTAACGTTCTAGACAACAGCACGAATTTTTACCCATAAAGGAAATTGAAGTATGAAGTTCCTCCCCATCTCTGTGACCTACGAGGCCGGTGATTGGATGAAAGCAAATGGGCACAACAATCTGAGCATGATGTCATCAACTATGAAAAAGTTACGATCGATACCCTCATACATGCGGAATAATGAATTCTGATGTCAAGCATGACTTAAGACCTCATCCCAAAGCCTGCACATAAGTAAGTAACTTCTTTCACTTTATAGTTTTTGGCCAGTTTTCGTTTCGTTGCATCTTTGTGCACATAGCTTTCATTTTCTAATTGTAGCCCTTTGTCAGCTGGATAATTTCCGTGATATATTTATTTAGAGGTCGCTCATCTCAGATATCGACCAGACAAATGCGGTTGGGAATCGCTAATAATTGCCATCCCATTTATCAGAAGCCATCAGGCTGGGCTTTCGTTATGTAAGGTTGACACCTCACAATGTGGGGAGCGTATTTTCTATGGGTTTGATCCAAAATTTGCTTATTTTATCTTACGAATTGTCTCGGAGTAATAGCTAGTAAGCGATGACGCATGTTTAGATTACCCAGGGCTCTATTAATCCTTGTAAATAATATTTGTGCTAATTTTGTCATCACTAGGGATCATTCATATTAATCTTGCTCTACGTTTAACAACGCAACAAGAGTAATTTCTTATCACCCATACATTAAGAAAGAGCACAGTGAATAGGCCGACACTTCCCTCGGAGATAAAATTTCTCTTGCTTTCACTTGCCCTTGGGAGAATAGGGAAGTACGCTTTAATGTGGAATAAGACTCGTTCGATGTATTACAGTCGCTCAGGGCCACGCGCCGGGTTTTTGCTAGACTTCTTTTTCAAAAACAAAGAATCTTTTGTATTACTGTTTGTTTTCACAGTAAACAGGCAATTCAAAGCTCTTGGCCTCCACGTGCGTCGTTGAAAATGAAAGCCGCCTTTCTTTTTTTTACAAAATGCTTCTGGTACAGCTGAAACGGCGCGCGTGCCAGCTCGCATTTGTAAATGTATTCTGTTACCACGTCACAAATCCCCTCAATAATTTTGCAGCCGCTTTTCAGTTATTAGGCACTGGTCTAAGTTTCCAAATAGAAAGTAACAGTCAAAGGCTCTATAATTTTCAACATTCAATGGTTATAATAAAAGATTTATTCCCTGCCTCAAAACTATACTTAACCAAAAGGTGACAACAGAGGAGTCGAGAAGGGAGGCACGAGATTCGGCAACAAAGGCGATAAAGCACCAAAAAGTAAACACGTAACATCATCTTAGACTATAAAAAGAACAAATAAAAGTATAATAATGTCAAATATGCTTGCAGATAAGTATCTCTTTCTTTCCTTTTTTAGCTGGTCAAATCCCTCAAAGTGATTAAAAATAAGCACAAACTCAACTGAAGCCAAGATTAAGAGCGCGACGTGGAGTAAATTCCTGAGAACTTTCGGCAGAGATTTCAACCAAAAATGTCAAAGTGCATTATTCTGGCATTTTTGGCTTTAGGTGTTTTCTGCTTCCTTCAAGCCATTGGTAAGTCAAGTTGATAGAAATTCCATTAAGTGTAATCAAAGTTTTAAATGGCCCTATCATATTGGTGCCTGAGGCTTTTTGTGTTTTGGATAATCAGCCGTGTGTTTCTCTCAGTGGGTAGCCTGATTCATCAAAGAAATACCAGGCGTCCTCAGGCATTCCGAAGGTTCGATGTCCTCACTTAAAATATTGGGAATGTTAAATTAAACGTTGTTTCACCAGTGGGCGAAATTCTTCAACATTCTTTAAATAAAAAATTCTGAGTACAAAAAGAGGAAAACTGATTCTTACGGTAAGAAGACTGAAAGAATGGGACAGAAATTAAATATGAGAGACTGTTACTTCACCCAAAAGGTGTGATTGTGTGGGATGGATGGCGTAGTAACACTTTAACCCTCTCAGCTCCAAGATCAACATACAAATTCTCCTGCCTGGCCTCCAGACATTTCTTTCAAAAAGTGGTTGAGAGAATGTGTTTAAAGATCAAAGTGAATAATTTAGTGATTATTCTGTTAATTCTCTTAACCTTTCTACTTGATATTATATGGATATTGTTAGGAGAAAACTGATTTTTGAAATATAGGCATATTTCAATATTTCAAGCTAATAAGTACAAGGAAATCTTTTTCAAAGGCTTTTAGACTTTTAACAAGCCGTTTATTTTTTCGTATTTTATTTGACGAACGCTAAATGAAGCGTATGTTATGGCGAAGTCCCCTCAATATACCATCCATATCAGCTCGCACTTCGCACTTCCTTTGCAACTCCTCTGTAATACTAAAACTTGGGATGTTTCTTGTGCGTTCAATGACATATCACTAGTGAAAGTTGATGAGTGTTCTGACACTGTGTGTTAAATTATCGTAGAGGCAAGAGGCGCAGGAGAAGGATTTTGTTTTAAGAAAATCAGCAAGAAAACAGGAGCATGCAAAAAAATATCAGGAAAGAAGATTCAGAAAGTTGATTGCTGTTCAGGCGGGGGCGCAGGATGGAGCAAACGGAAAAAAGACAAAGACAGCTGCGAGCCGTGTCGAACGTCCGTCCAAGGTAGGAAGTTGGGTCCTTAGTAAACATAAGGCTGCCAAACAACAATTTTAAAGAAAAAGGAAGAAAGGATTTTGGTGTCCAAAATATTGGTAACAATTAAAAGAAAAAGATACTGCGAAAGAGGCTTCTTTCAATAGCCACATCATAGGATTTGGTTAACGAATTGATAAGACAGAAGACGTAGAACTTGTTTACAGAGCATAATAAATATCACGCTTACAAAAACCACTAAAAAGGTTCCATTTCAAAGGTTTGAAAGGATTTCCTCCTTGAGATTACCATAATTTCTTATTAACTGACTATGCTTTTGAAAAGGTTAAATAAAAAATAACAAACGATTCATCTTTTACTTTAAGTGAATTTTAGGAATTGATTCTAAAACTAGTAAGGACATCTCCATGATATGACTGCGGTACATTTCCTTAGTAATACTATGTTAACATTGAAAGAAACTTTTTTAATGCCAAACTTTTTTAATGCCAAATAAGGGTGGCTTGTACTTGGCTTTAGAAAACATTATGTTAGTTTGACTATGTTAGTTCATTATGTTCTGTTTGAACTGAGTTAATGCAAGACCTTTGGATTCTAAGACGTGGACAACTATGAGGTTTGTAGTGAACCAGCGTCATTTGAGTGGGAAAACGTGATGGCCGTCGTCATTCTACGACAAGTTTCAGCGACCAGAATGCCGTAGTGGTGAAAACAAATCATAAAAGATCAGAAGTTTTATGATTTGGCGATGGGGAGAGGGGGGTGTGTGTTCAGTTTGAATAACCAGAAAAAAACATTTGTTTAAATCTCGTCCTCGAACCAAAGGGACTCTAATATGGTCTTTTTTAAACGTAGTGACAAGTCGTTGGAGTAACTGGGGTCCCTGGAGTAAGTGTAACGCAACTTGTGGGCCTTCATACCAATTCAGTAATAGGACGTGCATTTCTAATGGTCCCAAAAATTGTAAAGGAAGAAGTCAGAAATCCAGGCCATGCAGCACATCACCCTGTCCAAGTAAGTAAAAGGATTCTATTTAATTTTATTTCTAGCATGGCTCTAGATTGATTAGATAGCTATAGAGTAAGTCATATTGAAGTTGACTCATTTTCTGCAAGTTTTCTTGCAAGCTTTTCCTTTCGCCACGCTCACTGCTCTTCCAAAAAGATGTCATTTTAAGTGAAAATCCGTTGACATGCAATCTGGTGGTTACCCTGGGTATGTCTTCCCTGAATCCTAGCGACACCCCTGGGTAGCTAGATCATATGCGATCGCAGGCTTCTGACTGGACTAAGGATCAATGCTGGAGCTCAACTGACAGATAAAGCGGTAAATGGAGATTAATTAGAACTAATTATGACACAATGTAAAGAAATGTTCTTTAATGAGGATAACGCTTAATCTCTCGATCTACACATGGCCCTCAGAGAGAGAGTAACTAGCTTGCTAACGAAATACTAAAGATTTTCCATTACCAGGTAAAAATTTCGCTTTGCTTTATTTTGATTTCAAAAGGAGTTAACGAGCAGCAGTCGTTCCGTCAGAAAATAGCAGCAGTCTTTTAGTTAGTCTGTCGGTGTGACTGTTTTACCCAAGGTAAAATCAAATTCTGTGTGTAGTTTCGTCGGTTTGACTAGAATGGACTGCCTTGGCGAGTAGACTGTAACCAGTTAATGAAAAACTATGCAAGTTGGAAATGAGAATTAGAAGAACTTATTATTCACATATAATACATGAAACAGTATAGATAATAATGTGTAATTGTAGCCAAACTAGACTACGAGTAGTCCCCCATTTTTCCTCAGGGGATAGTAGAGCGAGCAAAACGCGAGCGCGCGTGAAAATCAACCCACGCGAGAAAAGGCGACACGCGGCGTGTCGCCTTTTCTCGCGTGGGGTGATTTTTACGCGCGCTCGCGTTTCGCTCGCTCTACTATCCCCTGAGGAAAAATGGGGGACTACTCGTAGTCTATAGCCAAACTAGCTTGTCAAATTAATTGCATGCATCGGTTCTTCATTCATTCATTCATCCATTCACTCATTACACTTACTTCTCACTTAGGGCAAAGGATATTGGAAAACCTTTTTCATTGATGTTTTTGCCTGTTTCAGTTGACGGGGGCTGGTCTCCCTGGGGTAACTGGACGCGCTGTTCGAAAACATGTGGAGTGGGTTATCAAACTCAACACAGAACTTGCACTAATCCGCCACCACAACATGGCGGAAGGGACTGTCAAGGGAATCTGGATCAATCAAGACAATGCGAGGATCAGAAGCACTGCCCAAGTGAGTTTAAGTCTCAATCTCACTTTGAAATCAGTTGATTAGCAATTATTGGACTCGGCTTTCGTACGATATGAAGAATTATGCAGATCGTGGAGCGTGTTGTCGGCCGAGGCGGAGAGAACAAAGAGAAATTCGACAAATTCAGACAAAAAGATATTCTTCAAATAACAGTTATCATCCGTTGAGGTGCATTTTTGCTGTTCTTGCTATGCTGAGGCAGTAATTTGCCTACTGACTTCTTCGCAAAACGTGTGAATTTGCGCTTGTTCTACCAAACAAAGCAACCACTTCCCCAGGGCTTCTCGGTTGGCTTCCTTTTTTTTCTGTCTGTTATTTTGCACCATTGATGTGATTTTATCGAATATTGCAAACGTCTAAATTTGGAAAACGCTGGCTGGTTATGAAAAATTAGCTGAAGGATTCGAGGCATTAAGAAACGAGGAAATAGTTTGAATTGGTGATACTCAATAAAATTTCAAAACAGAAGCCCATCTTGATAAACGTGATACAGTCGAACCCCGCTGGACAGTTTTGTTTTGCCTGGGGAAAGCCCTTACATTTTTTCTAAATTCAACCCGCTTAATACGGACACCCGTTAATGCGTACAACGAACACTCTTTTCTTTCCCAATCAACAGATTCTCATAGAAAGTCAACCTCGCTAATGCGGACACTTCAACAACATCTGTGTGTTGTAATAGACCTTTCCTTTCTGAAAGTAAAAAAAACCCTTCAATTGAGAGCTTGTCGATATTCCCAGCGCTACAGTACACCGAATTGGACTAAGTATTTGTAGACGTCAATTTCAGACTATTTTGGCATCAAACGAGTTATGCAGGATTACCAGTAAGTAAGATGTAGACAGGGCGATTTTTGAATGTTTTCCGCAGATTTCGTCCGCGCAATGACGGCTTTGTGAAGGTTAGGGATATTTAATTTGAAGATGATAAGGTCCTCTTTTATTTCTTTCGTATTTTGTCCTAATAAATGGTGTTTTATACTTGAATAACATGACCCCCTCAATAGGGACATCCCGGACACTTTCTTTGGGCCCATCAGTGTCCGTATTAACGGGTTAGACTGTATTAGTTGGGAACATTAAAAAAAGTTATAATTGATCCGTACTTGGAATGTAAACGCAATATATACTTCCTGTTAAATCTGTTTTTAATGGGGAGCTTAAGCACAACGGCGAAGATGCCGAGACCTTATCCCTGTTATTCTACCTCGTTCATGTTTGCGAATCTACTTTAAGAGAATTTTAAGGACCGTATCCAAGTTTAGGACAAGAAAGAGAAAATCATTGTCTTGAGTTAACTTCCTCCTAAAATAGAAAGATTAGGAAGATTTCACTTGAACGTCGTGCGGTGACGGCAAAGAAATGTACCAAAAAGTGTGATGCACCTGAAGCTGGTTGTTTTGTTTAGTAAGTCTATTGATTTTTGAGGCAGTCTCGATGCCGCCGCCGTCGCAGTTGCTTTAAGCTCTCAAAAACTTTTTATTTATAGCCTTGCTTTAATTGTTTTTTTTCTTTCGAAACCTCTACATCTTCATACGAAGAGCATTTTTCTCCTTCTTTAAGACACGCCTAAAGCAGGAGATATCTTCTCACTTTTTTTCGTCAATATGTTTTGCCCATTGAATTGGCTTCGTCATCTATTTTGATCGATTTGTCTCCGATCTCGATATTAACCTGATTATTCGAAAGACTGTGTGTTTGTTGATCTGACTCATGAATTTAATCTTGGCGGCATTAATCCTTAGCCTCCAGTTAGTTATAAGCCAACGCCGGGTTAAAGTTTCATAGCACTGAGTAGACGATATTTTTAACGTCAAACAGCCGCGAAGGCTATATTTGTGTCGTCGGCGAACACAGAGGCTACGAAAACTGAGGCATTTAGGCAGATCGATCATGTGAACTAATTAAAGAAGTGTCCAACGTTGCTTCCCCAATGGAAGACACAAGAAACTGGAGGAATATTTGACAAATGACCATTACAAGTAAACATAAAATAACTTAACATCGCAACCAAATGGACATTCGAGTTGTCCGTTCAATTTTGAGCTATATAAAAATTCATTGCAAGTTTGTTTAATTTTTATCAGGGTTTTACAAGGTTTAATATGATTGTATTATTGTTCCGGATTCTCTGTTTATAATATTTAGTTTGTTTATTTACTTTTCATTTCATTGCTCTATTTTCTTTGGGTTTATACACCCATAACTGCATCATAACATGTATATCACTGATTCTCTAACAGGGGCGGGTCCAGGATTATTTTTAGGAGGAGGTGCACTCTTCTCTTGCTCTACTTCAACAGCAATAAACCACATAGTTTTTTTTTTTTTTGCAGAATACCAGTTGTATTAGAAAACCGCAGGTCATCTCCGGGGGGGGAGGGGTGCGCACCCCCTGCACCCTCCCCCTAGATCCGCCCCTGTCCAAGTTACATGTGAACTTACGTAAATATGATACTTTGATTTTTGTTTCAGTTCATGGAGGCTTGGGCCAGTGGGGAGATTGGTCTGGTTGTGATAAGACCTGCGGGCTCGGAAAGAGGACGCGAGAGCGGCCATGTGATAACCCAAAGCCCCAGTATGGAGGGAGACCATGTAACGACTCTGGCAGGAGAGAATTTAGATACTGCAGGGAACAGAGATGCCCAATAGGTTTGTTATGTTTTAAAACTCTCTTTCGTTAGGAAAGAATGTAAAAATGGTGGCCAGGTGTTAAAAATGTGCGGCTAAAACACTAAATCCAAATATTTAGCCCTTTCACTGTCCCAGTGAATGATGATGGTTCTGACTTTGGTACCTGTGGACAAAACATTATGGTGTGACCATTCAAATAAAGCCTCTTCAACGATACTTTTACATACTACTATCATTTGGTTTTCAGCATTTTACAAAATAAAATTTGGAATTTGTTTTTAATCTTAACTTTGGTCACTTTTAAGGATGAAAGGACAAAAAATTTCGAGTGTTACCCTTTGACTTCTTTTGTTTCTTCCAGTATATTCAGGTTCCGGCGTTGGATCAGGATCTGGATGGGGGTCTGGCTCTGGCTCTGGCTCTGGCTCTGGATCAGGCTCGTCGGGATCTGGGTCTGGTGATTGGATAGGAGGAGATGGCTGGAGCGATGACGAGGACTTAAGTCAGCGTCGGCGTCGGCGTCGACGAAGATCATTGAGAAATTAAAGAGAGATTTAAGTGTAAATGACATTATATTTTATTGCTTGGTTGATAGAATATCAGTACACAGTGTCATGATCAAAACTTTTACCGTGATTTGACCGTCTATAAACTTGAATTTTTACCTCTGGTTGCCGCAAAACAAGTTCTCCTGTAATGACGTCACAATCCTTACCAGTCTACCGTCTTTTTTACAATCGCGCGGTTTTGTTCCAGAAGTGAAATTTCACTTTCAATTTACTGGAGAGGAAAAATCGATATCGAGAAAAAGCCTTTCGCTGTTCTTATTACGACCACACTGCGTAGATTCCAACCTCGTTCACAGGTTCTCTCTCACTCCGTAGGGACGGGTAGGAGAGAACCCTGTCAACGAGGTTGAGTAGATTCTATCAAGCAAATAAAAATAATCTGTCATCACTTGCATCGCATTGCTCACTGCATTGCAGCACAGTGAGTATGTGGGTAATTTGTAGTTAAATTCTTCCGAAGATAGGATAAAGTACTAGAAAAGAATTCTGGAAAACAAAATGCATATTTTCTGTTTATTATACTTCATTTTTTTTTTTTAAAACAAAACACGTTTTTGATACTGGTGAGGTTAAAATGCTGAGGTTCATGATAACTTTGCTACCACTTATAGTAAAATTTTAGACCTACCATAATTTATGTCCATTTATGTCTGGACTGAAAAGGAAGAGGCTCGCTATGGGTGTTTTCAAAAATATCGAAGTCGCAACAATCGCTACTGATGTCAAACGACGGTCTGAAAAAAAAGGAACGATGATTAAATTTGATGTCGTTAGTCGCGCGATGAAGGCAAAAAAGTCTGCCAAAAAGTGTGATTACGTCCAGAGCTTCTGTTTTGCTTATTAAAGCTGTCGTTCCGTGTCGTGGTTGCCCGAGATCGCTGGTAGTACTCGCAAACAATTCGGTTTTTCAACAAAATCGTTGCAGTGTGACGATTTCGTTAAAAAACCGAGCATTTGATAGAAAACACTGAGAAAACGCGCTGCGAAAACGAAGTCCTCAGGTTCCCATGGACAGGCATGTACGTGTTCTAACCTGCGAGCAAGCTCTCTCACTGGGCGAACGAAGCGAGCCGCGCGAGAACGTGCGAGCAAGCGGCGAAACGTCTCCCCACGCGTGCCACTCGTGCATGTACTTTTCACGATATCCCCCTAATGGAGAGCTTGCTCGCCGGCTATTAGCCTGCGTAGCAGGCACTAGGAAATAAATGGACGCAAGAAAGAACGGGTGGGAAACAATTTTCGGGGGCCTTCGGTGCAGGCGCTCCCTCTCCCCTCGCGTGTCTCCTTCTCGCGCGCGCGTTTTTCCTTGCGCCCATTTATGTCCTAGCGCCTGCTACGCAGGCTAGCCGGCTATACGTGTTCCTGCCGACAAACCCAAAGGAAATTACATGGAGACAGGTCCAACTCTTTAGTTTAACTAATTTTTGTGTCTTTTCTTGTCTAGACGTTTTGTTTAGTATATTGTAAACCAAAGTTAATGAATAGCTTATTTTTAATTTTTTAAAATTGACTTACTGAGAATAATTTGATGAGGCGTTGGTAAAGTATAATCCGCTGTCCAGTTGGCTCAGTTGGAATAGCTCCAGTCTGTTGACCGGTTGGTCAGGGGTTCCAACATGAGCTAAAGGTCGTGGAGGTCTTGGACTAAATAAATGTAAAATTTTTGTGGAAGAACGTTGAATTACTCACATTGTAGTTGTCTCTTGTCCCATAGAGTTCTCATGGAAAAGCCCGAAAAATCGCTTTGTTTTGATTCAGAACTCAATCGGCGTTCGTAAAAGTTTTGGTAACCGAGCGTTCTCTTTGAATCCTGGGGCGAGGGCGCCAAGTGACGCTTGCGCGCACGTGCACTACCCTCGTTGGATTTGAGGGAAAAGATAGACTGCAGGCAGTCTAGCCGGTTTCCCCTCGACTTGCTCGCTCGCTTGATTAAGGAACATACGATACGACAACGGCGACAGCAATGAAAACTTCACTGAAAAATGCTTTCAAGACCTTTTAAGACTATTCCTTCCATGATTATTCCAAGTCGTTCACAACTAAAACTCTGGCAAATTAAGCTGGAGCTAAAAAGAGGGCACTGCATCCGAACTCAGACTGGTACAGGTTGCCTTTTTGGAACAGAGGCCCATATGGGGCTCCTCCCTGGTGGGTACATGTACTTCCTAGTAACAGGCTAATGGAAATGTACTGCTGGATGGGGTTGTATTTGAAAGACTGGATAGACTAATGGGGTTGCATTTTCAATAGAGTTACTACAATT